TTATTTTTTTACCTTGATGTTTCTTACACCCATTGAAGCTTTAAGATACTGAAACAGCTCAAACTCGAAGTGCAGAAAATTTGCTACACTTGTGGTCTGTGTAGCAACATAAACATACTCATCTCTGCACCAATACACTGAGCAACACTTTACATTTACTACTATATTATATGTAATATCTAATTAATTTAACTGATACTGGAAACTTCATAATATCTTCCACATGAGTACCAGAACATGATGAATGAATCAATGGATACACGTCTCACCTCAAATACTATCCCAAAGTGCTATTAAAGATAGCATGGATTTAAGTGTATTTTAAACACTGGGTCACAGAGCTTTGGCACACTTCCTTCCTGTTGCATGCATGCACTCTCCAGTGTCCAAGACCACAAGTGTTGGTATTGGGATAGGCCCAATGGTAAATGTTTGTAGGTGAGTAACTACCCAGTTCATAATTATTTATTACATAAAGTTGAATGCTAATTGACGCTCCAGGGTAGTTACTAAATGACGTAGAAGTCGTGGCCTAATGGTTAGCGAGTTGGACTCGCTATCCAAAGGTTGTGGGTTTGAGTCTCAGATCTGGCAGGGATTGTAGGTGGGGGGAGTGAATGTACAGCACTCTCTCCCACCTTCAATACCACGACTGAGGTGCCCTTGAGCAAGGCACCGAACCCCCAACTGCTCCCCGGGTGCCGCAGCATAAATGGCTGCCCACTGCTCCAGGTGTGTGTTCATGGTGTGTGTGCACTTTGGATGGGTTAAACGCAGAGCACTAATTCCAAGTATGGGTCCCCATACTTGGCCACATGTGATGTCACTCACTTAAAATAATTATTGCCTGTAAGCATTTAGACTAATTGTTTTAAAAGTAGGAGTCAAATATCTGATTTAAAAGTGCGTTGTTCACATGAACCGGAAGCAAGCGTATACATCGTGATACTCTCCACAATGGCGGTGTGCTGTGGACTATAGGTGCTAGATAAAGCAAACCATTGTCTTGCTAGCAAAGCTTTGATGGATGACTATTGCAATTGTAGCACGCCCACTGTCCATTTGGCAGTACTGCAGCTAGTGAAATCTATGCCACAGAAATAATGAGATGGTCAAAGTTGCATTGTTTTTCAAAGTTGAGCCACTCTAGTAATGACTTTATTACAGTCATTTAATCACAAAATCTTGTAACTTCATAAATATCTCTATTCAGCAATAATACTTCTTGAAGTCTTTACATGTGATCCAGCAAAATCAATAAACATTGTTTTCTGCATAACCAAACCCTTGTTTTGGCTCTTTCTTTATGCTTTCATTTTTTATACAGTACATTCTTAAAACATATTACTGTAATCAATTTAATACATGGTCCACGTAAAATGACATAACCATAACAGACTGTTTCTATATGCTTCATAAGAACTAAGTATTTGACCAAGAGTCCATATAAGCATTAAACATATTAAGCAAGGTACTATTCATCTGAACTGAACACTTGAGCTAGCTCTCTGTAATACAAAATAAACACTTAAACTTGATGAGTATAACAAACATTTTTAAACCAATACTGTAATCATACAAAACTATATCATTAGTAGTACCACTTTTGATCCCCGCATATAAACAGCATTTTTCATTGCTTTAGTCGATTTGCTCTAATCCACTGGGGGCTTGGTTTTGGGCTGGGCCTTCATGATTTTAGGGCTCCACACGAAGCCAGAGCTTTCCCTATCCTATCCTATTTTTGCCTTGTTCTTCTGTAAACACGGCGTCATCTCAAGAAGTATCTCGCTACACACAAACCACTGAAACTGACTCAAAACGTTGTAGTATACATGCCAGACCAGTATGTCCCAGGTGAAAAAGACGTAGTATTAAATGTGTTAAAAATATACTTGAAATTCAAGTAGTAGGTTTATAATACATTTGTATTCCCAACATGCTTATTTGAAGTGCTTAGTTATACTTCTAAGAAATATGCTAAACAGAAGCACACTATTAGTATATTTCTAAAAAGTATAGTAGAAATACTATTGTAACGGTGCTGACGAGACGTGAGACGTGTGGATCCATCTGCAGGCTTTATTCAAGAGACGTGGTAAACAGGCAGGGTCAAAACAATGGCAAACAGGTATATGGCGGGCAAAACACAAGAATAGTCCCAGGGCTAGCAAGAATTTGAGTGAACTTCACAAGGAATGGACTGAGGCTGGGGTCAAGGCATCAAGAGCCACCACACACAGACGTGTCAAGGAATTTGGCTACAGTTGTCGTATTCTCTCTTGTTAAGCCACTCCTGAACCACAGACAACGTCAGAGGACGTCTTACATGGGCTAAGGAGAAGAAGAACTGGACTGTTGCCCAGTCACCATGCCTGAACCCCATAGAGAATCTATGGGGTATTGTCAAGAGGAAAATGAGAAACAAAAGACCAAAAAATGCAGATGAGCTGAAGGCCACTGTCAAAGAAACCTGGGCTTCCATACCACCTCAGCAGTGCCACAAACTGATCACCTCCATGCCATGCCGAATTGAGGCAGTAATTAAAGCAAAAGGAGCCCCTACCAAGTATTGAATACATGTACAGTAAATGAACATACTTTCCAGAAGGCCAACAATTCACTAAAAATGTTTTTTTATTGGTCTTATGAAGTGTTCTAATTTGTTGAGATAGTGAATTGGTGGGTTTTTTGTTAAATGTGAGCCAAAATCATCACAATTAAAAGAACCAAAGCATTAACCACTTCAGTCTGTGTGCATTGAATTTATTTAATACACAAGTTTCACAATTTGAGTTGAATTACTGAAATAAACTTTTCCATGACATTCTAATTTATTGAGATGCACCTGTAAGTCTAAATGTAAACAGTATTATATAGCGCGGTCGCGATCGTGTCTCTTTAGGGCACTTGGAGGAAACCACGCAATTCATATGGATTACTTTGGGAATGTTTTTTTGCGATTTCAACTTTTTGAAACTTGAACATCTTTGGTGACTCTTCTTTCATCGGAGGGACATAAATCTCTCAGATTTTTATTAAAATATCTCAGCTTTTCTTTTGAAGATGAACGAAAGTCTTAGATGGTTTGGAGCATCTTAAGGGTGAGTGATGACAGAATTCAAATTGTTTTGGGGGAACTATGAAATTAATTAGAAAATATAGCGGTATGTTGTTATTTTGACCAGCTTCTGCAAGCGTGTATGGCGTCTGGCTTTTGGAACCTCACTGTGACTTCAGGTAAGATTTCATTAACCTTATTTGTCGTGTTTTTGACACATGCATTGGCAGAAAAAATAAAATAAAATAAAATTAGTCATAACATGTACAACATTAACATTCTTTTATTTGCAAAATGAAGTTGTGTATTTATTTCTGATTTCCTGAACAATTTGGCTTCATTGTAATGAGGTTAATGATCTTTGAAAAACCATGATTATGAACATACAATTACTTTGTCTTGAGCTGATCAGCCAGCTGTGGTAGTGTTCGTTGATTGGTGTTTACATTTGTTCAAGCTTGACAACCTTATCGCCTTTATTTTCTAATATATATTTCTTATTACAAATAAGAACAACGATTAAATTGCAAGAAGGGTTGCTTGTAAGAGAGCATACAGTACATCTGAAACATCTGAAGCTGGGAAGGTTTTTGACTACTGACCAGGTATACATTGTACTCAGTACTGTCATTCTTAAAAAGAATCATCATTTGCATTTTTGTGTGTGTGTGTCTGTGTGTGAAATATTAACAATTGTTGTTTTTCAGATCAGTTGCTAGAAGACAAACTGAAATCTTAGTGCAGAGACAAGCAAAGGAATAGTAAGTATATTTTCATGTTGTATCACCTCTGTTATAGACATTTATGAATCAGGCCTAATTGAGGGTGATTTGGTCAATCTTGGAAGAAAAACGTTAGCAATGTGTCCATTTCAGCTGTCTATTTATGCTTGCTTTCAGTCATTCATGTAAAAATCTGTTATTTAATTTTGTTTCTGTTTTGTTTTTTTCTAAAGCTGCAAGGCTCTGGTGCAAAATATTGTATGCCAGGAGTCAGGACGACTAGGCTGTGCCCAAGTCTCTGGGACCTGCGACGACGCTAAGCTCCATCAGCCCTCCATCTGCACCTTCGCATCCACCAGCTCTGTCTCCATCGGTCGGCCCTCAGATGTTGGCAGCCACACCATCTACATCTTGGCTCCTCGCTCCCTCGATTCCGCCGTGTGTTGTCAGCACTGGGATACAACAATATATAATGCATTAAAGTTTTCTAGATATCAAAGTGTGTACGTGTGTGTATATACTGAAAAAAGCAGCTTTATATTATACTAGTAGTGTAATGCTAATGCATTTCCCATGAGCTGAAATACAATTGAAATGTACTTGAAGTACATTAAAACGATGCTTCAAATATACTCTAACTGTAGTTCATTAAGTATTAAAAGGACATTTTAAATGTATTTGAAGAAATACACTTAAATTGCACTAAATATACTTGAAGTGGTTCCATTTTAACACAATTTCAATATATTAAATATATTACAAATAGATTAAAATTCAACTTAAACATATCTTGAAATACACTTAATATACTTAAAGTTGTTTCAAAATAATACATTTAATATGCACTTAGTATAGTATAATTTAAATATAGTTAGTATGTCTGAAAAAGCACAATTTAAGTATATTTCTTTTTCACCTGGGGTGGCACTGTAATTCTGCCACAGAGATACACTAAAAAGGAGAAGAAGACTGGGAGCATGCGCATAAACCTTGTGCGCTGTATACAAACCCAACACAACAACAAGAAAAGATAGTAAAGTTAGTAAAGCTAATAGGCTCAGTAGGTTCTGTAACACAAACACAAGCATGTAGTTCACCATTGTTGTTGTTGCTGTTACGGGATGTAGCGGTGTCTGACTAGAGTTGAGACGTGGGGTGATGTAATATATATATAAATGTAATGAATGAATGAATGAATGAATGATGACATTATCGTTTCACAAAATATACGGATTGGCCGTACACACGAAAACACAAAGGTGTCATGTTCAGATTTATCCACTCTGGGACCCGGTTTAAAAAAAATAACGGTTTCAGGCTCCCAAAGCACCAGATCCGATACAACATTTTTATATATACAGCTAAACGCGTCTCCGTGTGTATGGGCCTTCAGTAAGTCTATTTAAAAATGGTTGAGAAACACCAGCTGGAGTTTGAAAATGTGAACTTATTGGTTAACTCCCATTTTGGTTCTGCATGTGCACTTCTCAGTAGTCTAATTGATGCTTCTGTCACACCTATTGTTAATAAATAACAATTTGGTCCCTCGATATCTCTTTGCCACCGTGAAATCTTCTCAGTCTCTCCAAGTGTATAAATACGGCCGGGAAGTAAGAAAACACACATTCAAATGGTATTCTCAAATACTTCAATTTATTCACAGAAATACAGATCTTATATAGGCATGTCGAGGGGAGTTTTTACCCTCTTAACCAATGAGCATAGGGGGACATACCCATACAGGATGTTTTTCCGAAGAACATGTGTTTTGTATAAAATTGCCACATATACAGAAAAACATATCCCTATAAGGAATAGACTTCCTGGCGACGGAGGCTGAACCCCCCTTATAAATCAGCACAAACTCCTTTACCTTGAATATTGAGTAAGAGACATTCAAACACCATACAAGAGAGAGAGAGAACAGATAGAGGAGGGGTGATTCAGAGAAGGAGAGAGAAAGAGTGAGAAAGGAGGGGTACGGCATCAAAAAGACAGAGAGTGTTTTCTAACACCTATGAACGTTTTGTTGTTTTCATTCCCCATGTGCTCAGTTTGACCCAGTTTCTGTCTCTCTTTCATTAGTTAGTTCACCTGTGTTTTGTTAATCTTCCTCACCTGTCAGTCCCTCGTTAGCCACCCTACTTTAGTTCTAGCCTGTTCAGTTCTCCTTTGTCCGGTATTGTGAATACTGCAGTCTCCTGTCTGCCTTCTGTGAATTACCCTTCTGTGGATTTATTAAAGACTATTTGACTTGCTCTTCCTTAGGGATGTAATGGTATGAAAATTTCATATCACGATTATAGTGACCAAAGTTATCACGGTTATCAATATTGTCACGGTTTTGTTCAAATTAGATGAAAACGTTCAGTAAGAACTTATACACACACTGAAAACATTTCAGTAAGTTTTGTATTTGAAAATCAACAAACAACAAATACAATAAGCAGCTATATGCACTTTTTTTTTAGCATAAACATTAAATTAACATTAACATGAAGCCATAATAATAAATCACTTATATATATATATTTCCGTTTGTGATCATGTGATCTTCGGTTAGGAGATCTTGTGATGCTTTTTAAAGTAAAGTTGGGGTTGATTTCGTGTTCACATACAAACATAAATAGAATAGGCTAATTAAATTAGTCTATTTTAATGTAAGACAACATATTTTTCGTCAGTGATAGAAATATGATTTAAGACGGTAGTGTAAGCAAGTTTAGTTTGAAAACGTTTAATAGTAAATAAGACACAATTAGACAATATTTGAATAAAATAATAATAATAATAAATATTTATTTGCAACAACTGATGGAGTACTGAATGCTGCACGCACGCGCAGCATTGTCAAGGTAACATTTGGTCAGTCATTCCCTTCGCCGAAGGAGTTTCAGACACTTATACGAGACAGTGATGCCCTGCACCCTTCAAAGAACACACTTCAAGGGATCTGCCCTTCGTAGGGAGTAGGGCATAGGGATGCTCACTTCTGTCTGGAATTCGCCGCATGTCTCTTGTATCACCGCAGAGGTGCGGACGCGCTCTCTCGTTTCATTCAAATGCAGCTTGCCGTCTTGCGTCTCAGTTTTTGATTGTATTGAAAATAAAATCAGAGGAATTTAGTATTAATACTACTATAATTTTGCTGTAGTGATCAGATTGTCCTGACGATTGTTTTGTACACTGTTCATAATGGATTTATAAACCGGAAAGATTTCAAAACATTAATCTCAATTCAATATTTAATATGCCTGTGTTTATATATTATTTTAGGTAAACAAAAACAAAATCCGTGTAATAAGTTAACTATGAATATACAACCGTCCTCGATTAAATTGCATTCAGGACTTTTGTAAAAGCCAAAATGCGACCAGACCACAGATTTGGTTCTCTTAAATGGCTGAAAAATCTCCCGAGCACTGTCACTGCCTTCCGCCATTTCGTCTCGTGCAAAAAACAACAACAACAACATTGCATGCTGCTTCTGCGTCAGACTGATGCTGGCTGGACAGGATTTACTGCAATTTTTCAAAATCGCGATAATCAAACACGGTTTTGATGATAATTTAATTTTAAACGATAATACTAACCGTCAGGGCA